TATAATAATAATAATAATAATAATAATAATAATTACTATTATTATTTTTTTAACTATTATTATTATATCAATAACAATGATAATAATAACAACAACAATAGTATTGATAACAATAATTGATTTATTAAGGGCATATCCACGCTCCCCAGCATTCTCTTTGAGCTTTGCAACTATTATTACAGTACAACTCTCAGAAACATTGTTGGTTTCTTCGGAAGCATACAGTGCAAGTTTTGGCGTTGCTGTTTCTTTTTATGCACGTAGATAAGGAAATTGGTATTCGTTCCCTTTGTCGCTTTCTCATCTTGTGTTCATGGTTATTACTTTTCTATAATGTCAGTACCACCTCTGCTTTTACGTAGTCAGCGAGTTATGAGAATCCCGGATTATCACTTTCAATTCTTGTTCTTTTATTGTGAGTTCTCAAGGTCATTTTCTCTTTTCAGGATATTTCCTATCTATGAATGCTTTATTTATCTATTACCCTAACAAACAAGCCTGCCAACTGTCCCAAATTTCGCGGGACTGTGCTGGATTTGGCAATTTGGCAGTTGAGAATTATAGAGCCCTATCACAAACATTACACCAAAACAAGACCGACATGGATGTAATTTTGTTCATTGTAATGTAATCTGATTATATGACTTTGGTGTCTCTGATTGCAAAAGTTGGCAAGCCAGCTAACATGTGGACTGAACTGTTTCCCTTACAGCTGTAACAGCAATGCTCGCACACCTATCCCCATCAAAGTGGGCGTCGTTGGAGGAGACGCCTATGTCAACTCGGTGCTTCGTCCCTATGTGGAACACTTTGCCAGCAAATCTCCTGACTGGCAAAACTACACCAGATTTTTAGTCATTCCATTTGGTGAGTCCCTATTAGTTTTAGTTAAGTTAATAAGAAAGGGTTTTTCGGCTCTCGCAACTGCCTAAGGTCATAGTCATATGAGCGCATGAAACACAAATCAGTTGCATTCACAGCAGTTCACAGCACGGATTGGTTCTGGTCATTAATTAGATTAAATGGTTAAAAATTTTATGGTAAAAATTTCAATCTTAACCGTTTGTGTATTGAGTTAGTATGAAGGGAAAGAAGGGAAATGTGCTAAACTTTTGTTGTCAGAAACTCTACTTTATACCTTCAATCTCCGGACGTGGGTGGTTGGCGGGTGCTTTGGTGTGGTTTGCTACTTCTTTTCTATCAAAGATCTATCGTCCATATCTTCCCTTCTTCTTTTTTATGTTTGTTACTCTCTTGTAACACCTCTAATCTTCTGGCGCTCATATGACCTTATGCAGTAGCGAGTGCCGTAAAACCTCTACTAAAAAAAAAATCTCCGGACTGGCAAAACTAACCCAAGATTTTTAGTCCTTCCATTTAATGAGTCCCTCTTTGTACAGCCCCCTTTGTGTACAGGGTGAGTATGAAGGGGAAAGCGATGAACTATTGTAGTCAGAAATGCTTCTTTTCAGAGGAAGAAAAAAAGTAATTGATATTGTCGCCAAAAAAAATGAGGGACTCCAATTTTTTTTACTCACCCTTGAGAGTTAAGCAAGGTCATATAGAATTATTTCCTATGTCTTCACACTATCTCGCTTATGGTACACATTTAGCGTGCTTTTCCTGGACTTTCAAAAAAACTTATTTAGCATACATTTGATGAATGGTAGATTTGAGTGTTTCTCACATTTCTAAGTGGATGTGTGTTCTGGAATGATAGGCTTTTGACAAATGATTTGAGTCAAGATTTTTACACTCATATCTTTACACTAAACAAGTGCCTGTAATGAACCCCTGAAAAATTCAGTGTTCATAAAATGTAATTTATAAATATAATATGTAAAGTGTACTTTTAAAAATAGTTTTGCCATTATTTTGTGATCTGTTAAGAGCATAATATTTTTATTCTTGCTAATATTACTACCACTATTGTTACAGTTACTGTCAGTTACTGTCATAATGATTATTGTCTTTACCTAATTTCATCTGTTTGCAGGTCCCAGCTCCATAGGCAAATATATTGCTAGTGTGGATAGCACGTTTGGTTCCTTGTTTATGGATCTTCAGTGGAAAGATACCTTTGAGAAACCAGAGTCCCCTAAGCTAGGTGAGTGATGTTGTCACCTTTTTATTTCTGTTAGCTTTCTCTTTCTTCAAAGCCTTGTCTGTAACTCAGTTGGTTTTGTGCTGGACTAAGGTTTGGATGACCCTGGTTCGAGTCCCCAACGGGGCGCTTTGCAATAGATTTTTGGTTGGTTTGGAATGTTTTATGGCTGGCCAGTGTCTTCGCTTTTTGTTTTTACTCTTTATCTCCGAGGGGGTTGAACCCACTAAGCTGGGGGCCCTCTTTTGGTAGGAAGTTTCAAAGTGAGATATACCTCATTAAATTGAGGATTAAATTAAAAGTGGGAGTCATCCTAAAGGAAGGTGTCTGAGCCGCTGCCAGCAGCTCCCCGGCCCAGTGCTTCTGACCTATGCCCCTGGGAGCAGCTTGCTGGAGATACGGAGTTAAAGATTGATGCTTGACTCTTCGTGTGCCCTCGTTAAAAAGTCACAAAAGGAAAGAGGCCTAGGTGATGGCAAAAATAGTGTTCGTGCAGGGGTAAGAGCTGTGGATTACTGATGAAAGGGGCCTTATATTTGTTTCAGTCTGGGTCAACTGTAATATATTATTATGCTAATGCGGTTTATAGGCGGACTGTGCTTATCAATTATTGTTTATGAATGTCTATTTTTATTAACCAATAAATATTTTGCTGTTATGGTTGGGTGGCGCCTGTCTGTGTGTTTGACTCTCTCTCTC